TAAATTCCTAATGGATAAGGGGCAAGTGTCTTTTTCATCTTTTTTTTCTTCATCTTCTTTGACCTCTCTGCATTATCTGAAACCACTGGCCGGGAGATAACTGCTATTTCACCTGACAAAGTTATTCTTTCCCCTAAAACTGGCACGAGGGACTGGAAGAATATGCTAAAATAGCCCAAATTATTCCGGGGACACATGTTAAATAGTGAAGGAAAACATAATTTTTCCACTAGGTTTCTACTTTGTGTAGTCCAAAAGCTATAAAGCATGGGGCAAACTGGTTAGGTGACCTGAAGTTAAAGCATCAGCAATATACAGAAAAAATGCAGGTCCAGTTTTGGTTCACAGCAAATAAACAAAATTGGTCAGAGTTCGGGTGAGATCAGTGTATAGTGAAGAAATACTGGCAGAGAGCGCGTGCTGTAGGGCAGAGAAAAGAAGACTGTTTTGAAGAAGTTGCAGTCATGGGGCAGTGTCCTTCTGCTGTGTGTGCAGTCAGAAGAGATCGGTTCATTCTGTGTAGATCCAGAAGAGTGTCTGAATTTCTCAGTGTGTCTGTGCTCTCATACAGTAGCATCTGTATCTTCATTTAGCAATGTTTTCCATTATTATAATGTATCTGCAGTTATTTATGCTGTCTGTCACCTCCTGGCTGCACTACAGTCCCTGGGCAGAAAGCCCACAGAGCCTGGGAACCTCTAGCTCCTACAGAACACCCCAGGAGACATCTCTTCAGCAGCACACGCTGCTGTGAGTGAGTGCAGTTCCTGCTTTCTGCTCTGGGTTTCTTTAGACTTTGTAATTACACTGGTCTTTGTTTTGAAGGTGTTTTGCTTCTCTGGCACAATGAAGTGCCACCACCTGAAGTGGGAGATGGAGCTTGCTGAGTCAGTGGCTGTGAAGTCCTCCAGTTTCAAAGGACCACTGCAATGTTACCACATTTCATCGCAAGCTCAAGACACATTTTTTTGACTGCCTTTTGTGAAATAAATACACAGGTTATATTTTTGGCCAAGCTAACAGAACTTTCCCAAGCTAACTCGCTCCATGCTACTTATCCTAGAATGAAACTCTTCTCTGAATGCACTTTCACCTCTAGGAAAGAGGCTGAGAAGGTAGTTGTGGCAGGGGTTAGTTATGTTAATGGAGTACAAGTAGTCAGTGAGTTGATGATGTAGTGATGAGCAGGGTATAACAGTGCGTATAAACCAGCGTGGTACAGCAGGGTTAAACCCTGCAAAGACATATTTTGGGTCCATACAGAGAAATGCAGCACAAGAAAGACAGAGCAGCTCTGGATCCCTGGATTGTGGCTGGGTTTGTCTGGGAGAAACCAACTGTGGTGCCACTCACTTGACCTGACTGCGCAGTGAAAGTCGTCTTCAGGCAGAAGAGTCTGCTCCAGTTAGCAGTTGTACTCCTCAATAACAACATCCTGGCTATTCCATGCCTTTGTAGATAGGAGACATAGACAACCCATGTAATATACCTAAATTCAAATTCAGGGCAACAATTAAAACGTAAATGCTAGTGTAAGAGAAATCTATGCAGTCATTTCAGGTGTGAAAAGAGTTTAATCTTCAGGTCTATTTCCCTGAGGACAGACCTTATATGTTAAAAAAGGCACTGTTTGTAATTATAAAGTAAGTGATAAGGATCAAATGAATTGTTACAGAACCTTCTTGTTGACTTTATTCCATGATAAGGAGCAGTTGCTGTGTGACCTTGAATATGGCCACATAACTCATGCTGAACGCATTGCTACAAAGATGGCATTTTGGCAGGCCTTTGATGTAGGTCATTTTATTACCAGGCTGAATCAAACTACAAACTGATCTTAAACTCATGCCAAGAATGCTAATAGTAAACTGATCAATGAGGGGCTGGGTTGTTCAAGAGAATTGGTCAAGGGAAAACGCAGACAGAAAAAGTCCGAAATTCCAAAGGTTGAACTGCTCGGGCTGTTATACTGGGAGGAATTCTATTCCTTGCATTAGTCCAAGTTTTCTTTACTCCAGGGACCTTTAGCTGAGTATTGAACAGGACAGTGTCTGAGAGTTTATAGTTATCTTTATTTTTCTTGACCTTTATGTGCAAGTGATTTTTATAGTTCCATTAACTAGTAAGATCATTTGCAAACCACTGTACAAAGTATATTATGAAGAATGCCTTGGGGACCATTGTATCCTATTATGTTGAATGTTAATAGAATGAAAAATTAATTTAAACTCAAAAGATTAGAGCGAGGCAAGACTTCCCTTTTATAGGGGAAATTCAAAATTTTATTTGCTCTGGTAAACTTCAGAGTTGTACCCTGCCGTGACCTTTATGGGCCTGATTGGAATCAGACAGTGCAGGAGTCTGATTATTTGCCTCTTTCAATAAAAGGGCTTCTATCAAAGCTTCCCCTCTTAAAAAGGGGGGATTTCTGTGACCCCCACATATGTGTGATTTCACAGCTGTAAATGACTATATACCAGTGAACTCATAGCTGCTTGGTCAGCAAGTTAATGAACCAGAGATGAGAGAGCCCACATTTCAAGGAGTGTCTTTACCTTTCTTGACTCTTTAATTGCTCATTAAACTTCGTAAGCTTCAGCGACGCGGGACTTCAAAACACCTAAAACCAAAGACACAGTTCTCTAGAATACTTTTTTGTACTTTGCATTTCATGGACTGCTTCAGAATGAGAAATATTGTCTTGAGTCTTGCTTGTAGGTCTCACATAGCGCCGTTCCCTGGAGACTGGAGCACTGCTATGGAAGACAGCACTTCTGTCCATAAACAAGTGATTAAGTAAACTCCATTAGCTTAATTAGTCATTCTTATTTCACATTTGTGTTAACGTGGTTAAGGTGTGATATATTTGGATGGCTAAGTCTTTTTTACCGTACTTCTTTCCATACCTCTTAGAAGAGTAATGTGTAGGAGTTACAGCAGTGAGAATCGTGTTCGTAGATAACTGAAGAATTTTGAATTCTTCAGAGCTGAAGAATTGCAGAATTTTCAAAGTATTCCTATCCCACCATTTCGTGTATCTTTATACACTGTAATTTAATAACAAACTATAAGTTTGTGGCTGTTCTGTACGTGGACTGTTGGTCATAGATAACCAGCCTTTTTAAAATGGTCACATGAAGGCATGTATTTCTTTATTGGAAAATCCTATTTATCTAATACTCTGTCTTGAATATCATCTTACAGCTGTAGTCTAGGATGCCTCCCTGTCTTCAGAAACCCTAACTCAAGTGAAATAAATGCACAAAAGATTAGGACAATTAGTGACGAGAGAATTAGCTATCAATATTTCATGCCCCCTGCAAGACTGTCTAAACACAAGATATGAAATTGGAATAAATTGCACTTTTGATGTGCAGCCAACCTAGAAAGGAAATGAATAATCTAGAAAGATCTTGCAGGTGTTTTAATGAGGCAACATTCTAATTGCTGATCACGTGTGATTTGATGGATAAAAAGCAGCAAGATTTATCCCATAGGATTATTCCAAGTTCACTTGGGATTTGAAGTTGGATCTCAGTACATTGTGAATAGCAATGTCCCAAACACAGACTGGACAGCAAAATGTTTCCATCAACTTTGATGCCAGCCTGAGTGTGGATTCCAGATGTGATCCAGTCTGATGGCCCAAAGGGAATGTCATATATTGCAGGAATTGTTAAATGTACAAGAGATTGGTGGAAAATGTTTGGTCCATGAAATATCTGAGAACTGAGAGGATGTTCACGGTGCAGGCACAGTGTGACTTTAAGGTTTGCTGGCTGATTTAAAATGAATTGGATAGTTCAGCCTGGTTTTCAGTACAGCAGCACAAAGCTACTTCCCAAATCAGCTTTGTTGGCCCTGTTTTAGGCAGGGATGAATTAATTTTTCTCTTGGAATTGGTCTTCTGTAGTCCAGCTTCAGCCAGTTCTTGGTTAAGTAAGCACAATACCCGCATTTCCCATCTGATATAAAAACACAGGATATACAAACATAGGTTATATATGATATATACTGTATATGTGGTGCATGGATATATAATGTGTATAAATCATACATTATAATGTAGTGGCCTCATTGCCATTCGTTAATAACTCATACATGTTTGTCTAGATGGAAATGATATATTCCAACTTAACCATGCAGTGTGAATCACACACTGAGTTTTTGGCAATGTCCTAAATGATAAAATAGAAATCAGGTAGTAAGCAGTAAAGTTCAGCCTTTAAAGTAGTTACATTCATTATTACCTAAGATTTTTTGTGTGTGATGGGCATATCAGCATACACTGGAAAGTGAATCAGACAGTGAGACAGCACAGGAGGAGAAGTCTCAAAGCCATGAGCTGTTCCTGCTCGTGGAGAAGGAGATCCTCCTGTGTGTATCTCCAGTCAGCTGCACAGTGACAGTAAAACCAAGGTTTCCATAGTTTGAGCCTTGAGGGCGTTGAACTTTCAAGAGTCCTCCTGTGGACAAATAACCTATAGAGCACGGCAGGTATGGAAAACTGGGTGACCTTGAAAAGACAAGATTGCACTTAGAGCTACTGCATCATGCAGCGAAATAATTTCTTTTCCTTGAGCTATATTTTACAAATCCATTTCGGATCTCGACATACATTCAAAACTCAGCTCCGTTTTATTTTATGAACAGCAGCAACTTGAGTGCGATAGAAGCAGCTGATATTCTGTAATGTAATAATAATAAGTGTCAGTTTGGTAAAAACTTTATTATGAAGCAAAACTGCTAACCAAAGTAGTTTCTGGTGTTAAGAGTTTTTCATTACAAAGAGCTGAAGTGACAAATGAGTTTATCGCTGTCAAGAGACCTATATTTCATTTTGGTCACTTAGTATTAATTAAATCTTGCAAGTAATTCTTTTTTGCGTATTTGCTTTTTTAATGTTTTTAAACAAAGTATTGCTCTCTAAGGCATCGTTTAGTGTATGTTTACCAGCCACTTAATACGTTTACAACACTGTGTGTTTTTCTTCTTACCAGCGCTCTGCACAGAGGAGTGTGTGCACGGAAGGTGTGTTTCTCCTGACACTTGTCACTGCGAGCCAGGCTGGGGAGGTACTGATTGCTCCAGCGGTGAGTAAAGATGACAAAAATGTGATGAAGATACATGCTGCTATAAAAAAAAGAAAAAAGACCTTAAATAAGGTAGTCACTTTAGGACTTGGGTGCTTTAAGTGGAAAAATGAACATTGTCAGTTGGTTATTTTGCAGCAGCTGATGTGTCTTAATACTCTTTCTTATGGTAATGACTTCCACCTTTTTTGCTTATTTTTTACAAAGAAATTTTCAATGCAATGGAGGATGCTCTTAATGCTTTCAGTGCTGTTATCAGGATACCAATATAGCTCTGTTATGAAACCATTCTCTCTTAAATCTTTACAACACATTGTTCATTAAGTACTCTGTGGAGTACTTGGGAAAGCACTCTCCAGAGAGAGCCCTTGTCCTCTTGGAGCCATGGGAGCTCTGCCATTGACTCTTCATGCAGCCCAGATTCTGCCTTCTGACTTCAAAACTACACTCAAAATTATTCACACTGCAGAAGTTGGGGAAATGGCAGGGGTAGGAGTTCTGCACCTTTTACTAAGGAATTCGTTCACACTTTCAGTTCTTTCAGCTGGAGAAGCTGTGTGTGTCGAACTCTCTTAATTGGTAACGATAAGTTTAAGTCTGTGTGATTAGTTCACGCTGGAATGAAACAGCCGGTGTTCTTGCCAGTACAAACATCAGAGATACTATGGAACGCAGGCCCAATACATTATTGACATAGCGGAAATAAGCTTGTTAAATGAAGTCTATTTGTGCACCAGGCAAGTAAATAAAGCTGCATCAAGAAAGATGCTGTGAGTCATTTACCGAATCAACATTTCATTTTGCTCTTACTTCCTCCCTTTCTCCCAAATTGATTAGGATCTTTAAAAAGAGGCATCATTATCAAGCGAAAAGATAACAGAAAAGAGGTCTATAAAGGGAGGCATTAGAAGAGAACAGGAGTTAGCTGGGACTGGGGATGGGCACCTGAAGGCAATGGGGCAGACTCTGGTCAAGCTCCTGGTGTTTTGTCTGCAGCTTTGCTGATGTCTCCTCAGCTACAGCAGGGAGGGAGGAAGCACAGAAAGAAAGGCCATGCTTTGAGGTTTAAAGCAACCTTTTGGGTTTACCTGACACATAGGCAAGGGAAAAATTGGGCAGCATAACATAGAGAATATCTAGCTATAGCAATATTTTTAAAAAGAAAAATAGTCCCTTCAATTGTAAAATATTGTATAGACTCTCAGGAACTCATTTTACCCTTTGGTTATTTTTAGGAGCAGATATATTGAAGCTAACAGCCAGTGAGTATTTATACAGTGCATGTGCACTTACAGAAGTTAAAAAAAAAAGAGAAAGAAATAATGCTGTGATAACGTGGACATAGACATGTAGATGTACACATTTGTACACACGTGCATACCCAGGGTAACGAGCACTCCACTCGTAATAACAAAGAGGAAAAGATAAGGAGTCAAAGTACAGATGGGGCTCGTGGACTGAAACTACCCACTGACTCTTATTAAATTGCACTAATCTTGCAAGTGAAGATAAAAAGAAAAAGAAGGTTTTTCCTATATTGAATATTTAGCTTTTTAAAGTAATTAGGAATATTAAAACATTGACAATGATTGAGTTAGAAACATTATTCATAACTTTTATTTCCGCACTGGGCAGCAATCCAGTATATTTCATTTATGAGGTTTCAGCGGTAGAAGGAGAAGCGTTAGCCAATTCCTAAATTAAATATGCCCTGTTAACTTTTATAAATGATAGCCCAGGATTAGCTTCAAAATTTAAGCTTTCATTTTATTAATATAATTAGTGTGTTCACTGGGCTATAGTGCCCATTGTCTTTCATTCCATTGATTATAAGCTGGGCAACACGCAGAACTGTCCTGAGGTCTGATCTGCCAAGCGCTGCCCAGTGCAGTGGCTGTGAGTGTGAATGGCCTCAGAGAAATGCGCTTGTACTGCAGCTGAGCAAGCTGCTCCCCTTGGTGCTTGACACTGGGCTTTGGCTGATCGGCCTCTTTACTGATAGGAGATTTTGTTTAAACTAAAAGGTGTAGAACAGATAAGCTGAATACAGTACAGTTGTTACTCTGAGTATTTCCAAGAGGGAAAAGAGAAGCTGGGAGCTTTTGCCTCGTGGAGGTTAAATGGGATTTTCAGAAACATTGGTGATCCACGTATTGAGTGATGTCTTACTGTTATCCAGTAATAATATGGAAAACATTTTTCACTTCTGCTGGAATAATGTATTACCTGTGCCTGCTTTCTTCCTATTACTTCATTAATATTGGGTAGCTGCTCTGAAGGTTACGTGTTTGCAATGACAAGTATCATTTGTTGGGTGTTTCTGCGTGGCTGGCCCTGTTGGGCTGAGCTCTGGGTGAACTGAAGCTGCTAGCTCTCCGTGTGCCACCCCGCTCCCTGTGGGGCCACAGGACTTTCCTACATGGTCCTCAGTGTCAGTGATTTTAATAAGTCACAGGCATATTGCTTTTAGTGTTGGTTGTTTGAAACTATTTTATGGGCTAGCCAAAACACCCCCTTGAAATTTAGAACATTTCACAGGAGCTGTAATGGTTTCCTGAAAGATCTCTCCTGAAAACAGTGTTGAGAAGTGGAGCTTACCTGACACCGGGGGTTGTCTGTTGTCCTTTACTTGGAAAAGATCGAGGGACACTCACTCTTTTTGAGCTGGTTTTTCAACATCCTGCAGACAAGACCATTATAACTTTCTAAAAGTTATACGTAACCTTCATTTGGTTTGATGGGTGAAATTCAACCATAAGCAGAGCTCCAGCACAAGGTCCAAGTGTCACTTCAAAACCAGAAATCAGATCCAAATGGTTTTCTTCTTTGGTGCGCCGCAAAGACCGCCTGTGCCAGGAGAGGGGATGGATTCTGACACTGAGCACAGATTTCCTACAGGGAGAAAAGGTTTTGGTGTTCAATGCAGTTTCCTGGTGTTACCATTCTCCCTTGGCTTTAATACTCAGTTAAATCTTTTTGAATAGTTCCAGCTACATCAAACAATTTAATCATCTTTCTCAGACTTTATGTTGTCCTAAAACTCAGCCTGTAAGACAGCAGTCACAAAACTTGCTATTAGGTGCAGCTTCCCAGCGACTGATCGTGGTCCATGTTAGAGTTCATCTGTTGTCAAGGTTAAAATAACTTCAGATGAATTGCTAAACAATTATAAAAAACCCTGTGCCATATTCAGCTCTGCATGCCTCTGTACCTGTGTTTTACTGCATGCTGTTGTACATCTGTCGATGCCCGCAGGCCTAGCCTTGATTTCATGCTATAAAGCTGCAATATATTAAGGCTTGATTACCATAACAATAAAAAGAGAAGTAATGAGGTATTAACTAAAAGAAGCTCTTGAATAAAATGTTTTCAAGGTTTTAATGATGCCAAAAATTAAAAGGAAAAGTCTTTAAAAAAACCCCATACCTTTTCTCTTCCCTTTCAACTTGTTTGACTAAAATCATGCCCATTTTGTCCATGCAATCTGCACTCTAGTTTTTTTTAAATACAAAGGAAAATTGCAAATGCTCTGTGTGAACTTACCTGCTCACCTGTCCAATTATTTCAAAGCAATTAACTTCAAACAGTATGAAATACTGGCTGGAAGTTCTGCTAGGAATATAATTGACTGTTGGTGGTTGCCTGGCCTCTTCTGGGTCTTGCTAATAGCCATCTGTATTTGCAAGCCGCTAGGCCTCAATCCAGCAAAGCACTTAAGCGTATCCTTAACTTGACGCAAGTAGGACTTTTCATCTGCTTTAAGTTAAACAAGTGTTTAAGGATGCTGCTGAGTCCGTTTTGAAGAAGCAGCTAAAAAGACCTCGGTGAAATCTAAACAAGCCTCCCATGGAATTCATCAGATCTATAAGGGATAAGCTGATCTTTCTTTCAAAATGCTAAAACTCATCATGCAGCGTTACTGAAGACCATTTTCACTCTCATGAGCTTTTTTCGTTGTGAGGAAGTTAACAGAAATCTGTGGTTGGAAGGGGATTTGCAAAACAGTGGACAACAGGCAGGAAAAAGAAAGGTCAGAGCGAGAGCCTTGAATTAAAAGCAAGGACCTTCCAAACTTGTGTGTGTCAGTTTAAGAAATATCAGAGTAAACAAACACAGAGGCTGTAATGAAATAATAAAGTAGTGTTGGAAATGTTTGCTTTGCTATTAGTTTCAGGGGAAAATTTAGTACCTGCCCAAAGTGTAATTAAAGAGAAGTTGGCATAATAATACCAAACCATCTTTCTTCATGCTATGGCACCTGGGGGAGAGAAACTCTAATACTGCTGTCTGGCATAGGCTGATCGGTAATGTACACATATGGAAAACATGGTTTTCTTCGGAAAGGATGTTTTGTACCAACTGTCACTAAGAGCAAGAACCTATTTCATCTTTGTTCAAAAATCTCTTTGTTCAAAAATAGCCAAGGTCATAACAACAGGCAAGTGTAACATCACAGCAAGATCACATTTAAGGGTATAGCCCTAGAGCAGCTGGAGTGCTTCAGTTCTGAGGCTTGTGATGAATGAGAACTGCACATACTTTCCTAAATCTGAAGGGGGGTTGCTTGACAAGCTATGGAAAGCAACAGTAGAAATCTCAGGAGAGAAATAGAGTATTTTAAAGTGAGTCTCTGCTGTTTTTCAGGCTTGATTTTGGCTTCCGTGTTCTGAAAATGCTTTGAACTATTTCCAAAGGAGAAATAAAGTTCAAAGGAGCGATTCCTGGTTTGTGCATACAGGCTTAGACAAAATTCAGCCTAATGTCAGGGACTGATCTACTGGGATCATGAAATATTTGTCCTCAGCTTTTTAGGATAGGATTGACTGGGAAACCATCAAGGTCCTCCAAAATTGATGCAAAGGTGTAAGACCTTCTAAACTGTGGGCTGCTACTGAGATTGAGGGCCTGTCCCTGAAGGCCGCCTGTCCCTGTTTCTTACCTGTGCCATGGGTTTGTATCACAGTGTCCGTTGCATCTCGGTGCCAAATGAGGTGACAGAG